TAGAATGATAATGATGGAAGTACGAGAGACCGCATGGGCGAACTCGTAGTCTCGCTGCCCGACGAATCGCCGTCGAGCTCTTCATTGGAGACAAAAAGCCTCTCCCCTTCATTGTAACACTTGGAGGAAGACGAGCGAGCGTGAGACCGGACGAGCTTCCAGAGCCAGGGACCAAGATGAGCCGCTGACGCTTCCGACGCTGGTCCTCAATTTTTTTCCTCCTTCTTTCTGGTGACCGATCAGCATTGAGAAAACGAATCTCAAACGAACCGACCGGCTTACGAACGATTGGACAGACGAACGGACCGCCCGACCGACCAAGGACCACGCAGCAGTCGCTGCGAGCACAACTCCCGCGGCCGACGCCGCCCGCGGCCGATCCGGGCTCTGCAGCCGACTTGTCAGGTCGCCGACTGCGAGAAGGGTTTGACTTCTACACTTTCTATTAGAAAGAGGCGAGCGGACGAAAAAACGAAAAACGAACGAACCGAACAAGCAATAGTACTGTTGGCTACAAGGACATTCGTAAGACATCAAAGCTCGTTCTTTCCCTCACACACTGGAGCAAATGAGGCCCACATTCGACCACGCTGCTCGACAATTGGGCATGTATCGAGTATTCGTGTGCATTAGTGAGCGACGATTCCACGCGATCGGATCCACATTGACGCTCGGTCGAAAGAATGAAGAAGAAAGTCGGGCATCTACGAGCTCGGAATGAGAAAAGCCCGGTCTGAGTCTGAAGTCTGAAGTCCCAGCTTGAGACCGGCTTGTTAAGAAGTTGGCGAATTCACCCTATCGCAGCTGTGTTTGACGAAGAGGGAAAATAGAAATTATTCCAGCTTGGTTCAATTTCTTCACGGAGCGCCTTCGGCCGCTGTCACCGGAGCCGGTCCTGAGAAAAATGTTATTTGCATCAGATTTCTCTGAAGCAGCAGAGCTACCCGAACGCAAGTCTGTTGATGATCCGGTGGAAAGCTAAAATCACCGACTTTGAAGCAACAGTTGTTCGCGGTGTCAAGGTTTTCTGAACATGACGTGGTATGTGTCTCACGCGTAGTGCGCGATGGAATTCATTCGGTCGTATGCTCCATTCTGGAATAACCGGTCGCCTGTATCGAGTTGGCTCGAGGAATTCGAATCGATTCTACGGGGAAGACTGCTTATTTCATTCCAACGCGTCGAGTCGATGCGTCCACAATAGTTTTTCGGAAAATGAAATGAACGTCAACCGTCAAGTCTTATCTCTGTATGAGCTGTCCATTCCGAGCGAAATCGATTGTTCGAAACAGTTCACTGCCAGCTAGCTTGCGAGAGAAGTACGCTCCGTATACAGCGTCGAGACGGGTTTTTTCGCGGAACGTACGTTTCGCAATTCCACTGAAATCGACGTCACGGTCGACGATGGTGAACGGAGGACGGCTCCCGGCACCGCCCACGACAACCAGTACACTAGTTCACCAGCGCTCAGTTACGAATAACGGTACGACGGCGACGATTTCGGACGGAGCCATTAAAGACCGTTCGCTAACTGTATCTCGGCTGCTGGCTCTTTCTGCTGACCTGCTTCGGATACAGGAGCTGAACGAAAGGCCGCTACCAGAGAGACCCGCTCGAGGTGCACCTGGCCACCTGACGAGCGAACGGACAAACGATTGGACTGGCTTGCTTGGCGACTGCCGGGAAGCTGGCTGCTGGTTCACTCAAACAAGCACACATTCAAGATTCACAGAGCCAACCAAACAAGGCCCCTAGCTGTTCCCCACCACTCAAGCCGCAGCTCGAAGATTCACAGCATCTTTGCCTTCTGCTGTTGCGCCAACAACTTCCCGAAAGCAAAACGTTCACATCGAGCCGTTTATACATGAAAACCTTTCCAAGGATCGCATCTTCGTTCATCGTCGTAATCTTCGACCATGATTGTTTTTTTATCTTCTCTCGTCTCTTTCGGAGCCATCTTCGACGGCGACGTCGACCGAGCGAGCTCTTGCGATTCAATCAAGTCAGCATCAGTATCTGGTTCCAACAACTTGTAGAGTCTATCGACGGCGTTTCGAAAACCACTGGACGATCATTCGCCCTGCCGGGTTTCGTATCCTCGAACTGTCCGCAAATTTCCTCTCTGGACTCGCTCAGTATTAGCCGAGTTACAATGTAAACAAATCGCCACCGCCATCATCGCAGCAGGCTCTCCGAACAAAATGCTAACCAAAGAATCTGAAGCCTTCGAGCTGACCGGAGGGAGTTGTCACTCTTCGAATTATTTCGCTAAGCTCAGAGCTCAACTGTCGCGAGATTTCGGCGATTGCATCGCCCGGATTCGAAGTCCAGTCGAACGGATACATCGCTTGAAATGCTTACCGGCATTGATGAAGAAGATCCTCGTTGCCTCCACATCTTCCTATATACATATGTACAGCAGCTGCGGCCGAAACAATTTCGATCTCACACACACTCACTACACGAACGGGTAGCAGCTGCCGACGACACTTATGTATCCCAGATCATTGTACGATGTGAAACTCGCTCACTTATCCGGTGACATTTTCGCTTGGGATCGAAAACTTAGTTCTGCTCTCGCTCATCTGCTGTCGTTCGACGGCAGTTTCCAAGAGTATCAGAGCTGGGAAGTTCTCAATTCGGTACGGCAACCACCATGTCAGATGTGGACAGTGTTCGAACTGAACGAAAACAACAACAGATGTAGAAAATGGAGCAATGCTGCTAGCAAGTGAGCGGCAGCAGCGGCGGCGAACTGATCAGACCTCTCCGACGCCTTGCTTAGTTCTGATCTTCCTTGTGGCCGCCAAGTTTGTTCAACTGACTACCGGAGCGCCATCTAGGAGTTCTTCGACGAAACATCGAGAACGAGTGTTCAGCGCGGGAAACCGAGCGCCTGCTCTCGATTCGCAACGTGTGTGTAGAATCAACAGGTGGCCGACTCAGTCGAAGACTGCCTGATTCGCGGATCGGTGTGAATGCAGGAAGTTTATTCGGTTTCTTCCTGGAGCTCGCGACAGGGTGCGAATTGTTGTTGTTTGAAGGAAAGGAATTTTGTTTACCTTTCACACCACTCCGAACGGATTCCGGATTCCGCTATTTAAAACGCTACCGTGCGAATTCTGGAAGGTTTCTAGGCTGTCTTCGAGTTTTCGTCTGTTCGTCCTCGAGCCCTCGGACCTTCGACCAGCTCGAGACCGCTCATTGTGGAACGCGAGTTCGCATCGGGACTCGTCCTCTCTCATGAGAAATCTCTCACCTGAGCGGGACACTTCCCATGATCATCGCTGCCCCGCGAATTTTCATCATCATTTGAAGGGGAGTGACGTCGACTGCGAAGGACTTTTCGTAGATGTCATTCATCGCGTGTTCCGAATCCCAAGCTAGGAGTCTCATAATGGCCCTGCTTCTCGAATCCGGAGCTTGTGCTCACCGGTTTCATCGGATCAAAGCGTCGGCCATCATGCAGATGATCGATATCTGTTCTCTATCGTCTAGAATGGTGTTGTTGGTGCCATTCGCGGAGATCATTCGATTCTCTCCGCGCCAGTGACGGAAGCCTCACGAAAAAGAAGATTTCCTCTTTCATATAAAAAGATATTTGTTCTGAATCCGCGCCTGAAGTCTGATGACTGTGGATACTCAGTTCCTGGAATGCTTCAAGCGACGATCAAGCCTAAAAGAGCAACCATGCCATGCATGAAGCCCGCCCGGATACCGGAAATTACCCGTCTACTGGCGACTGGCCGTGGATTCCATCCAGGTGAATATTCTGATAGAGGTGTATAGTCCCTGATGTTGTCGGGCGGTTTCCGATAGACGGGCAACTCCGGAGGATAGGTGATATAGACGGGCAATCTCGAATGAGCTTGCATTAGGAATTCAGGTACCCGAGTCGCGAAACTTACAAAACGTCTCTCGCGGCTCGATTGCGTGACTAACAAGGATGCCCGTGGTTCCTCTCTGATTGATACGATACAAGTACTGACCGAACTCACTCAGTTCTCTCCCACGGGCAATGTGCAATAGACGGGTAGTCTCTGATGAACGGTCCGGTTTTTGATGCTCGGAAAATCGACGCTCATGCCCGTCGATTAGATCATCCACGGTGATCCCACTTTCAGAATACTGGTCAACGGGGGGAAATATTGGATGCTGCTCAGAACCATAGAATTCTCCGTTTGCAGCCACTCCAGCGTCGCGATGTCTTGAGTGAGGCAAACGAGGAAGTTAAGAGATCTGGACTATGATCCGAATGGGCCCGGCTACCGGCTACTCTATATCTTCGTGGAGTCTGGTGGAAAACCCTGTCACGAGGAATAGAGTACCGACATGGCGAGGGCGACACGGACTGTTTCGCTCGCTGGGGTCCTGATGAATCGATCAAATTTTTTTCTGAGGTATTTTTTCCGACGGGGTTGAGTTCTATGATCCTGGGAGTGAAAACGGTAGCATTGACCCCGAGACTTTTACGATTAGAATCAAACCTATGGAATCTGCCTGCTCATGGACGGAAGGCTTGGAAATTCCCGCACAGCGCAGACACAGACAAGAGATTCGTTCCGTAGGTTCCCAGGATCCCGAAAGCAGTCATTCTTGAGTCCACTGTCTAGATGTGATCACCCGACCTATTTAGCGGTTCTCACCTGTGAGCACCCCGGTTTTGAAATTCAGCCTTCATGCCATAGAAACGAGTTCAAGATGCAGCGGGATAATGATGATGATCGTCATTCATTCGCGATTCTCTCCGCAGCTTTCCGTTGCTTATTCCAATTCCGTGTGCCATGAAGTCGGTGAGGAGCCGTCACTCACACACGGAGCATACCCTCAATTTGAGTTTATATTTCCGAGGTTTCTCGGCAGGGCATTTGCGCCATCAGGAATCTCTGAGGATGTACGCGTTTGCCCTCAAGCTTTGTTGTCGGAGCGTCGTGATTGATGGATGACCAGAGATGGCTCTCGCCTGCATTCATCGGGATCTCCCCTTGGCCGAAACGTACCGCATCTTTTCCTTCCTTCGGCATAGGGTGTCGTGATCCCCAGCTGTCTCGGGCACTTCACTTTACCCAGACCACCACCGATGGCTACCTCGAGACTTCTGGGTGACGCCTCCGACCCTTCAGAACCGAACACCAAAGAAGTCTAGGCATAGCGATCTCGCGAGATCGATCCAATAAGCATATTTGCCTCTTAGATATCTATCCATAGGATAGATTTTGCCCTCTATTCAGGGAACTTTTCTGGTGGAGTCTCATTTGCCTCATGTCCATGGCCGGCAGCGTTTCCCTCATGTGCCCGAACCCGGGGAACCGATCCGTACCGTCGGATGTAGGTGAGCAGACGCCGTGGAAGGCCGCCACGAATATCGCATTCGTTTTCGGTACCTATAGCCTCGTACATGAATATTACGCGAGGAGATACGATTGGAATGGTTCTCCATGTCCCGTTCTAGAGCTCTCCGAATCCCTTTTCCGAGTTTCAACCCCCCATGGTACCGCTTCCCTAAGATACGCTTCCGACAGCTTGCGGCAGCCACTGCAAATACGAGGGACCCAGAGTCTTGACCCGCAGAGACCTAAAGGCGGAGCCGAGATGATTCTGGAGAAATCGATCCCTCCTGACTCGGCTGGGCGGAGGGTACGACAAATGTTGGAATAACTCGTTGAATGGAAGGAGACAGCACACGATCAATCCTCTGTGCGAACATACAATAATTCGAAGAGAATATCCATCCGAGTGTTCGGAGTCGGATGAAAATCTCCTTTTGACTTCGGGACTATCATCTAAGTCTAAGATATTCGCCTCGGCTGAAATAAAGCAAGTTCGATGCCGCTCCTCTATCTTGATAATTCTCATTCCTGCGGTGTCTCTAATTGGCAGCTTCAGACGAGACTCCTTCGGAAGGAACATCTTCTCTTCCATCAGGTGCGGGGCTATTCGTGACCGATGCTCCGATTTTCCGCTGTTTTCGACAATCATTGGCAGATATGAGATATGAGAGTTAGGGCGAGGATGATCATTGTGAGCATGCCGTCATCCATCGCATAAAAAGTATTCGAGTGCCTCGGTCGCACAGCTGTGCCGACCATCGGGAAACAATCCGTGAATTGGGAGCGGATGAAGATCAGCCGGTGGTTAGCGGAAACGGCCCCTGAGATATCTGACGGAATGCGACGACGCCGACGCCTGATTTCACACTTCTCCATCGTCCCGTCTCCGGTCACGAGGTCTCTCGCACATCAATATCCTGCAACTTTCGCTGAGCGATACCTCATGATTCCGCCAGATCTAATTTCAAGCTGGAAGTCATGGCACGACCTGGAATCTCCGATGTTCCACATACAGCGAGGGTCCCGGGGCGAGAATTCCAACTGCTCATATGTATATCCGTGCTTCCCTCGAGGGGGACTTGCAGGGATCCCAGAGACGCGGATAAATAGTGTATCTTCCCTCGGGGAATCAGAACCTTTTTCGGTTCTCAATCGATTCATTCTGCCTCCGAAGCGGGCCCGTCGATGTTTTCGCGCGGGCGCTCTTCTGAGTTTTTATTCAGGATGGTTTCAAGTGCGTCTTGAAGAGAAGATGCTCCGTAGACATGATGCTTCAAAAACCATTGAAGGTCAAGTCCCGATGACACTATATAAGAGCTCTCATTTGACACGAAGCCATTAAGAGATCATATTCGGTGCGGTGCGCAGAATCCGGAATGAAGCTCGTGATATTTCTCGCCGGTATCGTATTCGTCCAAGCTGCCGGGAAGCGTTATGTTCTCAGAAGGCTACATGGATCTCGTAATGCGACGCTAGCTCGACTCCCCATAGATACGTTCGCGAAGAGAGCAGGGTAAGCTCAGACACATATCGTCTTCGGATGCCCACACGTTCTGTGGGAGTATTCATTCAGATACTCAGGTTCGAGGAAACTTCGTCCATCAATTTCGATTCAGCTCGAATACTTGCGCCGTGGAATACGTTCCGAAGCTGGGCAGAACCTACCACACAGACTCCACAACTTGGCTGCATCGTGACGTATGCGGATATCCCACGTGAGTTTGCGACTTCAACGACTCGGAGCTTTAGTTCCTTGACGACTGACTTCAACCTATCCAGGGAGCGCTCAATCAAAGCCACTTGGTTGAGCCCGGAGTGTGCACCCAAGCAGCCGACTAGCTATCAACACAGCCGATCAACTATCACTCCTTCAACCCCGTTGCACCGCTCGCTCAACTGAATGCTCTTTTACAGCCACGTTCAGTATGAATGCTGCGAGGGCTACACGTCCGTCTATGGCAGTGCGGAATGCTCCGCGGTCTTGGCCTTGAAGGACGTGCTCAAAACAGCGAGTCGGATGGGTGCGGGCTTATTCGTCGAGTGAGTGCAAAGGTTTTATTCAGGGGAATCACAAGCTCGGATGATCAGGAGATATACGTGTGTCCTGCTTCCTCAGAATTCTCAAACGATCGACGACAGCCCTGGACGCCGTGAATCGAGCAGCTAAGGACGGGACAGTCACGATATTTGCTCCATTAGACGGAGCCATACGGAGTTTGACTTCTCAGGAGCGCTACGCTTTTGAGAGAAATCTCCATCGAAATCTGCTGTACCACGTGATCCCAAGACGAGTTCACATCAAGGACCTTCCCGACGGAGATTCGGATTTCAAAACACTCGATGGATATGAGACTCTATTGAAAATTTCACGCTTCCGCAATCAGGTACCGTGAATTTAGAGGGTAGATAAATTTTGATGAGGCTGACGACCACCCTCATCACAGTGCCGATCCTATTGTCAATCCCAAGACTGTAGAGTAGAGAGACCTCTGAGAATTAACAGGGATAGAACTGGTCTGGGGGTCAGAGAGCTCTCCATACATGATGAAGATGCAGGAGAGGATAAATTTTGTTTCGCAGGTCAACACTGTCAACTGCCGATTGATTACTCGGAGAGATCACAGAGCGACCGACGGCGTTGTGCACGTCATCGACGGTGTCCTACGACCCCCCCGGA